AATCTCGCTATGAGCCGGTGTAACTGAGGTCATCCGTACAGTTCGTCATTTGCCAGTAACAACTTAGCCTCTGCTTAAAGTGTTCACTAGCCTTCTACAAGCCCTTTACGAGAGGAAATTTCCACAAGTGTTTATCATTTTGTCACTATTTCTGTTTCTATATTCTTTTTAGTCGAGGCTGATTATAAGGAGGATTCTCCGATCTTTAAACTAAATTCTTTATTCGCCACAGGCCAGTCAAATTTCGAGGTGATCTGGATCCTTCGAGCTGCTTTCGATCGTTTCGTGGATGCGTTATTGTGCAATCTACATGACTTCATGCCTCGTCTGAATCGAACCCCATTTTATAGAGACCTCCAGATCTCGGTCTATTCGGAGTCATCTCCCTGGTATCATTTTTGTGTGAAAAAGTCTCCAAATTCTCTAGATCAATCCAATTTTGCGTCTTTGCTACTGCAGAATATGTAATGGGCACTTGTAGGAGTGGAAACGACCTGCAACATCAGCTTGTGTCTGTCAAGTGAGACACATTTTCACAGCCGTAGGAGATGTCACAAGGAGGCTGAGTTTCCGGGAGATTAGGCTAAAGGGTTCAACAGCTTCGTGTGGATAAACCAGAGATAAGAGTTAAGATATTTGTGCAAAATCTACTCGATATGGCAGATCAGTGCAGAGCATTCGCACGCAGAACGAGAAAGAGGCTGGTGGAGGGGTCAGCCGGACGTCGCAGATTCTCACCATCTCCCCAGCCTTAGTTGCATTCCCAACCTCAGCTCTTTAGGGGGTTGAGTAACTATTCAGTCGGCCAAGCGTTAGCTATTTCAGGTCGATTTATGTAAATGAGCTGAGGGATTTGGGACTCCGGCAAAGTGAGCTTTGAAGCGGGTGATGCAAACAGGAAGACTTCACGATGTCCGCGTTTTCAACGTTTACTCTTCTGCACATCCGACATAATTAAGGACTCTGTAGGGCTTATAATCAAGCCAAGAATGGGCGAAATCGCGAACTTTGTGGGCAAGTCTGCGCCTATACGTACGACTGTGTTTTGACGGATAAGCTGCAGCTTAGGTCCACTTAAAGTGTACTTAATAAAGCAGGGATGTTAACAGTTAAAAATATTTGAGGAAAAATCGAGTTTTTACTGCTTTATTGTGGCATGACTTTCTACTTCAAATGAAAAGTCGATTGGAAGGAATTGGTGAAGGAGTGAAGCCTGTTGTTTTGTGTTAAGAAGTACCCCACTCACCGTCCTATGGCCCCGATGAACCTGCTCTAAGCTTTCATCTGTCATGTGAAACATATAATCAGAGCGAGAAGCATACGTTTGGAAAACACGCACCAAATACAATGAGCCCAGCCTCATAAGTTTGATTATTTAGGCATGGAAACAGCTTACTATAAATCAACTTTCTTTTCATGCATCAGCCTCCTTCATCTACAAAATGTATATTTGGCATGAAATAGCAAAGCAAATCATGGTATGCCTTATTAGGATCATAAAGTGGGGTATAAGAAGTGAATGTGATTGTATCAGGCCACGTTTAGTTTCTCGGCGCATTTTCTCCAAACGTATGTTTTCTCGCTCTGATGATGCCTTTTGCATGACAGACAAAAGCTTAGCATAGTCTAATCGGGGCTGTAGAACAGTGGAACGATGACTTATTTGCATATTCCAACAATCTCCACACCTCCAAGACACTCCTTTTTCGGTTTCCGGTGAGGCCAATTCATGGTATCCCTCCAAATTTTTTTTCTTTGGAAAGTCGTGTCAGTACAGTTGAGAAGCTT